TTCTTGTTTAATTACATCACTGTGATTGACTTTGTTAACATCAGAACATGCCTTTATGTTTGTTCTAAGTTCTTTTTAAATAAGAGGCTTATTTAAACTTTTGTCTGATATTGTAGTTACTTTCAGAAATAGTGATAATTTGCTTCACATCTGTCGGGGGTTTTGGACTATTTAACTTTTATCAGATCAAGTAAACCCTCATAGGTACATTGTTGACATGTTAGGACGCAGAAACTAGTGAGAGCATTGATTTGCATATTGAGGCAAATCTCTAATTATTGTTAGAAAAAATGCTTAAAGAGAAGGAAATTGGTATAAGCTAGCCAAAATGTCTGAGAAGGCTTCAAATTAAAATGATGGATAAATACTATTTTGTTGAGTGTTGTTACAAAATATTTATGTTTTGTAGCTATGAAAACATAAATGGTATAAATGTTTTGTAGCTTTTAATGCGTAATTATCCTAATATTGTTAAAGAATTAATGTCATAAATTACATGTATTTTAAATTGTGATATTTTATTAGATTTTGATTTTAATAGGGTTTTTTTAACAAATATTGTTAAAAAATAAAATTTAATAGTGGCCATAATGACTAAGGTTACCTATTTACCTAATTTAATTATTTATAACTAAAATAAACTCACAAGATAAAACACAAAAATGTAGAAATTCAAGTAATACTTATTCTTTGCATATAGTGAGAGTTAAAATGTTACAAAACAACTTATCACCTCTGGTGCTTGACTGGCTTATTGGAACCTGAAAGTATATTAACTGAGTTACAACCCCTGAAATTCTGTGCAAAGCTATGACACTAACTGCATAAAGTGTAGAGCCTGAATAACTTTGAACACTTGCTAACCGTGCCTAGATCAGGCCTTTTAGGTTTGCTTTAATCAGCAGGTCTCCATCTAGACAAGCAGCAGCGGTAATAATATTCAGTCTTTTGTTATGAATCATGCTGATTATGCTTACTTTATTTACTTCTCATTTTAACCTATACCATTTGACATAAAATCTACCTGCTATTTACTAAACCTTTAGACCAACAGTTCTAAACCTTTTGACATACGTGTAGCATCTAAACAAAAGTTGAATACCTTTAGTACCACTACTACAAAGTACTACTACCACAACCAATCTTGAACAAAGCTCAGATCGCATAAATTTACGAGTGTTAGAGAAAAAAATCAATGAGGATGTTGGGATTTTAATTTTTGAAATAAATAGTTAAAAATACTTTGCTTCTTTGTGTACCACCTATTTTTTTCTTGTATACCACCGGTTGAGAACCTCTGCTCTAGACTGATCAAGTATGTAACAAAATGAGACAAAAAAAAAAAAAATCAACATAAAGCTAACTATTAGTAAAATGTAAATGTCACTTATCTTCTTTCTAATATTTCCAACCTGTTATAAGTGTAAAATATTTAATGTTACTTGATAAACTGCTTGAAGTTTATTTTATTCTCAAACTTGTTAATAATTATGTTAATTCATGTTTAGTAATAATGCATACTTCTATTTAGGAATCTGTTTATTTTTTAGGATGATATTACAAAAGTGAAATTCAGGCATAGAATAATATTTTTAATTGAATTTATTCAGTTCCCATTTGCTCATAGGTCCTTAATTTTTTTCATTAATGGTCCTTAAAGGTCCTTAATTTCCGTGTGCAGAAATGTGTACCCTCTTTGCTCTTTCAGTGTAGGGGAGAATCTCTACAATAGTGACCATTTCCTGGTGATTGTAAATATTGCAGGAGAGTCGGTGATCTTAAGACAACCATGCTTACTTTACAATAAAGCTGATTGGAATCTTTTTGCAATCTTCTGCTGTGTTGACTGAAGAAATGATAAATGATGTGGAGATTGATGTGGCAGTAAAAAGGTTCCCTAAATCGTGGTGGAACTATGATTGTCATAGAACTTCAAAGGAGCAAAAGAAAGCTTCACGTATCTTTCGTTGATATCCAACACTGGCAAATCTTCTGACCTTTAAAAAAGCTAAGGTGAATTCAAGAAGTCGTCAGAAAAAACCATGGGCTGCCAACCTGTTTACTATTACATCTTCAATGTCTAGCAAACAGGTTTGGAAAGGAAACACAAAGCCTCTGGACTGTATAACGATTATTCCTTTTCTTCTCTAGAAAAAAGATGGAAAGGTGGGAAGCACTAGAGAAGAAATAGCTGATGCTTTAGGTGAAACGTTTGCTGCTGTATCTGGCAGTAGCATTTAATAAAAAGTGTTTCTCTCTTCAAAGATGCACTTGGATAGGACTCATATTGACTTTTCCCATCCTAATGCAGAATCTTATAGTAAAGATCTTACCATGTTAGAATTAAAAAGTCTAATATCTCAGACTAGTAGAACTTGTCCTGGTCCTGATGGTGTAAGTTATTTGATGATAGAGCATCTGCCGTATGAATCTCTAGTAGTCCTTCTAGCTCCTAATAATAGGGGTATGGAAGGAACAAACTTTTCCAACTGCTTTGGTGCAGTACTTTTGTAATCCCTATTGCAAACCCCGGCAAGAACCCAAAAAGTCCTTTAAATTATTGTCCTAGCTGCCTTTGTAGGATCATGGAAAAAATAGTAAATCACCATCTCACTTACTATCTGGAGAAAAACCATTGCCTATCGCCATACCAAAATGGCTTCTGTAAGAGAAGATATTCATTTGACAATGCCCTGTTCTTAGAAACCACAATGCATTTGTGAAAACCACAATGCATTTGCAAGTATGCAATGCATTTGTGAAAATAAGTCACGTGGTTTCTATCTTCTTTGACATGGAAAAGGCGTATGATAGAACTTGGTGACATGGAATTCTTCATGGCCTGTACCTTTATAGTGCTGAACTGCGATTTAATTTACCTACCTTCATTCAAAACTTTCTGAGACTTGTACTTTCCAAGTTGAGATTGGATCATTGCTATCTCGTGTATTTGTACAACAAGAAGGTGTACCCCAGGGTTTAGTACTCAATGTCACTCCTTTCAGCCTAAAAATAAATTTTATTTTAAGAGAACTTACCACTTCTGGTACCTCGTTACAGCTGGATAACTGCGGCCTGTTGTGGAATTTACACGGGAATTTCTTATCTTTCTGTGGTCTGCCGTAAATGTTTCAAATCCATTTCAAGAAGCAAATGCCTTAAGTTTTAAATCTTTTCCTTTAACCCTTTGATGCGCACGATATTATTTTTATAATTTTTTAAACTAAAAACTCTAGAAATTGAATATTAGGATCCTAGGGACAAATAATATATGAATTTTTAAAAAATCTACTCTTGCCCATTGTTCTGTGGGTGGTGGTCGCACTGTGAAACCACTGCATGTCTAGGACTTTGAAACTTACCTTTCTCCGGGTGCATTTCCAATAAATGATGAAATTTAAGAATTTGAAAAAATGTATGTAGGAATTGCATAATATATAATTTTTTACATTATTTTACAAAGTAAATCGTCAGAAAAAATTAAAAAATAAACATTTATATAATTTTTCTATAGCAGTGAAAATATGAATACCTACATAATATGGATGTTTGGCTAAATGGATTAAAAAAACTCAGTAAAATAAGGATAAAAAAAGACTCTGTGTTGTTTTTTTTAATTTAAAAGAACAAATATTTTTTGTGACACTGTTCAAAGCATGTTTTATTTTTTTGGTACTTGCATAGACCCACGTTGCACCTTTCGCACATGTATCTTCTTCTATGAGGTTTCTTCCTTGTGCTACAAAATGACACTGCCTTCATCTAAATTTCACTGGTATATGTCCAGCGTTATTTAGTTTCTTTTCATCTGGCACATGAAATTTGTGGTTTTTTTATGTTAATGGGTGGGTGGGATGCTTGGTCTTTTTGGCTTTGGTAAGGATCATTCATACTTATTTTATTCGTATTTTGTCCCAAAATATTCAGAAAATATTTTTAATTTAAATAAAACTTTACACTATTTCTATTTTTAATTATAGCAGAGTATATTTACATTAAATTTAAACCACAGGAAATAATTTATAAAACCACAATAATAGCTTGGGGAGCAAGCATGTTGAGGTCAGAGAAAAGTCTCTGAAAAAGAAAGACTTTTTACTGGGCAGGTGCAGGTATTGTTTAGTAATAAAATAACTCTGTGGTTTCAAAACCCCTTATTTATATCCATGTAAAAATAAACATTCCTATTTGAGAAGCAAGCAAATGGCATTGTGAAGAGCAGTGGTTTCAAGGTGCAACCACTGAGCCTCTAGAGCATTGTGGCACAATGCTCTAGCAGTGCAATGGTCGCGCCCTGAAACCACAAAGCAAATGCCATACATATAAAGGGCATTTTTATTTATGCAATTTAATTATTGCTATTTTTTTATTGTTTATGATAGAAATCATGATGTGCGATGAACAACTTTTGAAATTTAAAGTTGTTAATACTAATAAAAGGAAGTTATTTTGTCTCATTGAAAATGAATTTTAAAAGGCATCTGATTTGAAGTACTAAGACCTAAAGCATGTATGATTCTGCAGTCATTTTGTGTTATTTAGAGATAAAAGATCAGTAATCAATTGATTTTCACTGAAAAATTTGGAAGGAAGAGGAGAAAAAAATTTGAAAATTGGTGGTTTCAGGGCACACGTCAAATGGTTAACCCTTTGAGCAGCATGACTCTGGTCATGAGAATTTTTATCACTTGATACATTATTGGCTGATAACTTAAGATATTTTGTTTTCTTACTTTCTTTAATAATGTAAAGGTAATCTTAATGTATGTAAGTTTATGCAAATAGAGACTAAAATAAGTAATTATCTAAATTCAGGTAATAAATGCTGCATAAATACAGGTCTTCATGACAAATCCAAAAACCCGTGCCGCTCAGAGGGATAATCAGCTCTCTCTCTTTTTTTTTTTCTTTTTTAAGGTGGGGGATACTTTTATCGTTTTCAACTTGAGAATTAAGTTGTGTTAGGAACATACATCAGTAATTTTAATTACTAGCATTTACCAATTTATTATTACTGTCGGTATTTAATGAAAAGAAATTTATGAAATGTTTCTTATTTGTGATACCTTATTTCCAGTCACTGTGTAATTTGTGGAAAAAAGCAGTCAAATGCTTCTCTTAGAAGATTCTTTGCATTTCCAAAAGATCCTGTTTTGTAAGTATGCATATAAATTAGTATATAAGAAATATTGCTGCTAAAATTATATTTTCTGTTAACTTCTTAAAATTTGTAATTTTCGAAGATAATTATCATAGTGTCTGTTTTAGAGGTAAAAATTAGGTTTTGCAAACAAAAGTTTCAAACATTAGATTTTATTATTATTCTCACTATAAATATATTCATATGAGATTAGCAGAACTTTATTTAAAATTAATGAAATCCATCACAGGGTAGATTTAATATTAACTTTTGAAATGATAAAAAGCCAGTTATTCAACTACTTCATTTTTATATAAGACTGGATTCTTGCATAATAATTGGTAAAATGTATTTAACACTCTTTCCATTTATTTATTTGATTCATTTAAACTGTGTTCATCCTCCTATTTAACAATATAAAAATATTTATTTTGTACTTTATGGAATTATTAAGAACACAAATTTCAGCTTTCTCAGACAGCTTTAATTTTTTTTTTTTTTTTTTTTTTTTTTTTTTTTTTTAGGTGCAAGAAGTGGGTCACTGAATCCAATAAGCGATTTCTTAAAAGTAAATCTGTCCAGGAGTTAAATGCCAGGTATAAAGTTTGCTCCGATCATTTTGAAGAAAGTGATTATGCATCAGGCATGCTATATTTGAAATCCCAAGCTTATCCTAAAATTTCATCTTGTAAGTTCTAACCTTTATCATATCATATATATTTTTCAAGTGTACACTTGGATTTCTATTCATTTTCAGAATTTTATTGAATGGCATCCTCTTTGTTTTTAAAATTTTGGATATAAAATTAAAATGGCTACTGTGTATTTCTGAATATAAGCTAATATGTGTATTAAATGAGTGTGCATTTTTTCTTCAAAAATTCACCCAAAATTCAAAATCTGTGTATCAGCTGCAAAAAAAGAAGGAATCTTTTTCGCATTCAAACATATTGTGATGAGGGTGAACGTGTAAAAAGGGTGGAATGTTTTCCAATTAAATCATTGTAAAGTAAAATGCTAAATGCCAATGACAGTAGTTTTTAACTCTTGTAACACTTTCTGAAAGTAGCTCATTTCCCCTATTCATTGTTTTCTTGTATGTGATCTGTGCCAGTCTTACTTTCTGTACCATTTTATTTTTGTCTCAATGCTGCACAGGAAGAGAAATTCTTATATTGCATATTTTAAACTACAGATGATCGTATTTGCTGATAATTCTAACAACAGTGAGGTTTCACGGTATTTCACTTAAGTAAAAAATTTTGAGAGTTGAGGAAAAATCATATCTAATTAGCAGAAATGCCAAAATCTAAAAAGGTAGTAGGTACATTTTTGCTTTCCATTAGGCAGGCCCAAATTTCACCAACATCAGATTTTACATTTTGACGATTAAACAATTCCAAAAATAAAACAACTCATTTTCACAAAACAAGAATTCATCCAAAACATGTAATTTAAAAAGAAATATATGCCAAAGATATAAAAAAGTGCTATGTTTGACAATTTACCCCTTGCACCCGGCTAACAGTAAAATGTCTTATGATTTGTATGAGATAAGCAAATCCATATACAGTACAAAGTCTGAGATCAGGACATCCAAAATGATCTAAAATCTAAACCTCAAAGCCAACAACAACATTTTTTTCCCCTTAGGAACTTTTCTTTTTGGTATGCATGTGCGTTTGATCCCCCCCCCTCCCCACACACAATAAAACATATGGAGAATTTTGATTCTTAATTTCACTTCAGTACTAAATAAAATGCCTCACTGATGAAGAAACAACCATTTTAGCATAAATTTGTGTGATCAATAATATGGCTCCATAGCTGCATATCTGCTTGCCATGCATCAAACCGAAACATTCAACATAGAAACATCATTGATTTTAACCTACTACTATTTTATATCCCTAACATCAACCTGGCGAATCATTATTTATTATACACACTTTTGCAAAAAAAAAAAAAAAAAAAAATCAAAGCAGCAGGAAGGAAGTAGTTGTTTTTGATGAAATTGAATATGTGTATAGCTCATACACAAATAATAAAATGATTTAAAAATCAAGGTCATAATGCCTGTTCACGGCTCACAATCGCCCATTGAGTGTTCAAATTAGTAGTTGGTCAAAATGTCCCTGGCAGCAATGCATGCTTGAATTCGTTGAGGCAAGGAGTGGTAGAGGTTCTTAATGTCATCCTACGACACATTCTACCAGCCATCCATCAGTTGTTGCTCCAGATCTGCAATATTTTGTGTGCCCGAATCTGGCGGCCTACTATGTCCCAAACATGCTCGAATGGTGAAGGATCTGGTGACCTTGCTGGCCAAGAAAGAGTATGAACCACATGGAGACAGTCCAGAGATATGCGAGCGGTACGTGGCCTGGCATTATCTTGTTCGAAAATGGCCCCAGGATGACATGCCATGAAGGATAATGAATCCGGCCGTAGGATGGTATCAACATATCGTTGAGCTGTTAAGATGTACAGAGGATGACTTGCTGTTGTAATAAATAGTGCCCCACACCATCACACCAGAGGTTATGGCTGTATGCCTGTAAAACAAAGGCTGTTTGGGACCTCTGGCCCTGTCCTTTTCAGACATGAACAAGGTGGTCGTCTGCTTCAAGAGTGAAGTGGGATTCATCGCTGAACACTATACGATGCCATGATGATCGGCTGTGACACCACTCCAGATCACTCTGCCAATGTTATGGGGTCAAAGACAAACATCTTAAAGGCCTCTGTGAGTGTAACCGTGCCTCAGACAAGCGCCTTGAGATGGTGGACAGTACCGGAGGACATATAGACATGGCTGTAGTGCATTGAATAGTCGACAATGATACCGTTGGGGCATTTCGATCCTCGCGAACAATCATCCTATCTTGCCTTGCATTTGTGCTCCCTTGGCCTTCCAGAGACTTCATTTTGTCGGCAGTTTCCTTGAAGCAACCATTGCTGCCTGTCTGGCTGCCTATTGCTCGGTATGACCACCCAGCTTCACGCAACACTACAATGCGACCACGTTCGAAGTTGTTTAGTTGTCTGTAAGGTCTAAGATATCATCATAATGGAATCTTTAGTTGCTTCTTTACGGAATTACAATGGCAGCAACAAAAAAAGGATAAATTTTATGCCTCTGTTACTGGTTTTATACTTTGCAAATCGCGCACTAGAAATACATGCTATGATCATAATTCCTGTTCATTTGCCTTGAAAGTTTGATCATTTGCATGTTCGATCAAGGTGTTTTTGCATACAAATTTCGTCACAGTCGCAAAAGTAGTTCTTGGTGCTTCAATTTTTTTTTTTTTTTTTTTTTTTTTTTCCAAAAGATTGTATTTTACTTTCAGCACCACATGTTTATCAGCACATAACAACATGAGTAATGACTCATGCAGTGATGCTTAAGCATTTTTTTATACTAATAATTGAATAACAAAGAGTACAGTAACATTTATGTTGACATTATGTTTGGCAATGATTACGGATTTAAATGCACTAAGAAATGATGACGAGGAAAAATTTAACAAAAATTTCTTCTCATATGCTAGAACTAGATTTTGTTGATGATAATCATAGGCCAAAAGATTACATTTAGTGCTATTTAAAAATAATTGATTTGTTATTCACATAAACCCAGAACCATCGGTAGTATTTAGATAAAACAAACTTTTTGGAATTTAGAGAAGCACTGAGCAACAAAATTAAGGGATGACAAAATTTTTAGAATTTAGGGAAGGCACTGGGATCCAAAATTTAGAACTTAGAAGGATACTTGGTAGCAGAATTTAGGACCCGCAGAGACTGCGTCAGGTGATAAGTTATCTAATGCCGCCCCTCGATAAGCCTTAAATATATGTGGGATTTTATTTATTCAGGATTCAGATAAGCCTTAAGCATGTGCAAGAAATAAACATAAGTATAATAAATAACTATTACAATTCAGGTTTAGTTGTCTCAGTGCATAGATAGAAGCAAGACAAAAGTAACAGAACAACTTGTGTTTCATCGCCAATCTCATGATACATAGCCAGTAATGTTTAGTGGACGCTATTAAGCTTGGCAAAAATTATACTTTACTGGTTCCAAAAAATTTCAGTTAATATAGCATATTGCACTGTTCTTTAACTTTCTGGTTTGATCCAGTTTATTATTTTTTGCAGGCTGTTATTATTAATGTTATTAATTTTATGAAAATTAAAGTTTGAACTTTCGATTTTGTCGAAAAGAGTTTCTGATTCTGAAGCTGCCACAGTATCTACAAAGCAAAAGCATGTTTTGATGTCCATTAAACAAAATGTGGAATTGCTGCAAAAATATGGTTTAAAGGTATATCCCGTTGACTTAATGTTCTATTTTTGGTTTTTACTTAGAGGCCAATTGGCAATAAACTAACGTGGTTGTTGATGACATAGTATCTGCGGATTGGCTATGGTTTAATTATACGCTGGAATAGTAGAACACAAGAGGACTTGCTGGCTTTTCTTTTCTCTTTGGTTTTAATGCAAATGGCTACTGCTGCAGCCTAGTTGTTTTAATTTTTAAGTTATAAAATAAATATTAGTTTTTTTTTTTTAATTTTTCCCCCTTTTGAAGTAAAAAGAAAGTATTGTAATGGCGAAAAATTTCGGGTATCATATTTCAACAAAAATATTGATTTTGACCGCTATGCAATGCAATTTAATGATGTTTTTGCTTGACATCCACAAATAAGGACAGAATAAAGGACTCTTTTTCCCCAAAAAATTACAAAACTGATTTAAAATGAATTCTGAAAAAAATTATTCGTGGTGTCTATACGTACGTACCTCACATAACTCAAAAACACGTAGCTTCAGAATGTTCAAATTTTGTATGTAGGACTGCTATAACATGTAGATGTGCATCTCGTATTTTAGTTGCAATCAGCCACACCAAAAGAATATGTATATAGTTATATATATATATATATCTACTGTGTTACTTGGCTCAGCGAGCTCAGTTTCTTTACTCTTATATGTTTGTAAATTGTGCATTTTTGCTTTAAAAATGATTGAATTATGTTGTTCTTATGTTCCGGTTAGGGTTTTTATACCTTTAGTAAATCTTCATGCAATATTTTTTGAGTTATCAACAATTTAAAAGTTGTTTAAGTGCAGCTAAAGCCTAATGAATTTTCCGATGGTGGACATGCTTTTTTACATTTTAGACTTGGAAAAATAGTGGATTTGTTGCCAATTTAGAGAAACTAAGCTTCGCAACAACAAGGATAACGCCTTTTTTTATTATTGCAAATTAAACCATGCTTAATCCATTCTGGAATTTATTCGAGGAAATAAGTGTATCAGATTAAACATATTCAGACTTCGTAATTTTTTATATAGGTATTTCGAGTTTTTATGTATTTTTGCCTTGTTGGGAAGTGAGAACTGAATTAATTGAGTGAGAAATACTGAATCGTCTGTGAAAAGCTGTTTCTTTTTTGATTTGTTTGCTTAATTTCTTTTATACATCGTTCTAGATTTATTATAGCATTTGAATAGGACCTGTGGCAACGATTAGATAATTCTTTAGATGACATAATTTTTTTTTGCATTCTGAGTTATAAAATTAATGAGAAGTAACGCTGTTAAGTGAACCTATGTCCAGAGTGTCACTATGGTAAACAAATATAGTGAATTTTAAAATGTGCATTTATTCTATTAT